GTTCACCTCCCGGAGCCGTGTGAGACACTTTTTATTATGGATGGATGCGCTTTATTTCACTTCTTTTGGACTGATGAACTGCAACACCCGCTGACTGCCATTAAACAGCTTGGAAAATCAAAAACAATTTTTAATATAACTCAAGATTGGATTCATCTGAAAGAAGGAAGTCATATACGCCTAGGATGGCTTGAGGGTGAGTAAATAATGGGCTAATTTTCATTTTTGGGTGAACTATCACTTTAAAGTTAGGAAGAATTTAATTTTAAAAAACTTAAAGTAAGTACATGGTTCATTACAAAAACACGACTCTTCGAGTGCTAAGGCTTTGGCAAGAACTGCTATTCAATCATTCAGAACAAAAGCTTGTCATTTTCTTTTTACGAAGAAATAAGATGTTCTTAAGAATATATTTGAGAACTACTTTTGAATTTTTTAAAAATTGCATTTAGGAATATTCTGACAAATTTAGTTTAGGACATTTCTTAACTTCTTTCTTAAAAAGATTTTTGTGAATCCGACTCCTGATCTGTATTTAAGTCCAATTCAAAAAATCAGATCCGCTCAGCATTCCATAGTAAATGCCACATGTGAGTGTAAAGAGTGAATTTGGATATTCTGCAGCACAAATGTTGAATAAAAATCCATGAAATCTAATTTGACTTGAATCAAACATCAGGTTTTTTATTCACATATTTATGTGCTTTGAATCACATTTGTCCAAAATGTTTAAAATAGGAGATAACTAAACAGAAGCGAGTCGAATACGGCAAAAGATAGGCCTGTCTGAACAAAGCCTAAGACAGGCACTAAAACATTTAAAAAGTAACAAACAAGATGTTTAGGCTAATTGTTAGGCTGGTTTGGCAGATGGTTCCTCCTTAGTCTCTCGTCCCATATTCAGTCTCTGGGCACCTGTAAAATCTACAGCTACACAAGTGCCACGTATCACCCACGATCCCTAGAGAGCCATCGTACCTCTACTAGCTCCTTCACAGGTTCCCCAGAGGAGAGGTTTGGAGAGCCTGCAGAAGAGGAGTGATTAGATTAGCACAAGATGGGTGCGTACCAGGGGGTCGCAGACAGTTCGCAACACGACATACATGAGTAGGAGTTGAAATGTGTGAGTAAGTGTTATATACACACTATTCAGTGACTCTGTGTTGCTGATTGCAGACACCGTCTTCAGAGCAGACTTGAGGGGGATCTGGGAGTTAGTCAGTGTGGGGCTGTAGGAGGACTCTTCAGTGGAGATCTGGAGAAAAACAGTCTGTTAGATCCACTTATAAGTAAGTTTGATTACTAACACAGGCTTCACATACTCCCAGCTGTATTACTGAACTCAGAGATGACAGCCTGCCGGGAAGGAATTCTTTGGGATGAAACAGAAAACATGAAGAAGAAAAAAAACACCTGACGGCGATCTGACAATCCTATATTCTTCTTGAGGAATAAACAGACAACTGGGGAACACAGACTCCAAAAACAATGTCAGATTAACATTGAACATAATTAAAGAAATACTTCACCCAAGATTGAAAATTATGAAAATAATTATTGGCTTATGTGGCCAAAATGTTAATATCAATGCATCCCTAACAGCTTTTTGCCATTTAAAACCTGGTGCAATCTGAAAGTGCATATGAGATTTCAGTTTCACAGAAAAATAGCATTCAGGCTTCGAACAACATGTGACAACTATTTGAATTTTTGGTTGATATATTCCTTTAGCCTACAGTAATTTTTGTAGTCTAAACTACCATTAAAAAGTCTGATGTCAGTGCGTCCTTGCTGAATAAAACTATTAATTTCTTTAAAATAAAATAAAATAAATAAATAAATAGTAACACTTTGGTTTATGAGCCAGTTCTCACTACTAACTAGTGTAATTAACACTAGCGTCTTCTCTCTGAAGTTCATACCAGGAAACGTACGCCATGACCAGTCCTGGGGGGAGAGTCTTGGGGGAAGGTGGGCACATGGGTGCCATTGTCCTGAGCACGTTCCCTCAAGTACTCCAGCCTGCGAGCTTGGCTGAGCTGCTGCGAGAGCAGGGACTGCAGCTGGGAGCGCTCCATAGAGCCCAGCAGGATCATGGACTCTGGAGCCAGGTGGGGACACAGGCAAGGGAGACAGCAGAGAGACCAGAAAGAGAGGGAAAGAGAGAGAAGTGAGAGAGACACAGCGGGATAGCTGGAGGAATGGGGGATAGCAAAGGGAAATGGTGGGAGGGCGGGAAAGGAGATGGAGAAGGTAAAGAATGTGTCTGTCACAGGGTATGAGGTGGAATTGTGGGATTACATTTCCAACTGTGAGCTTTCATTTGGGAACATCAAGAAAATGTCTGGAAAAGAAACTGTACTAAAATCAGTAAAACGTCAAAAAATATTTACAGCCTCATTTTTACACACTTATTTACTTGTATTTTTCTTTTTCTAGCACACTGTCCATTTTTAAGCCTCATTTTCTCTGTTTCTCAAATTCATTCAGAAGCTCATTTCCTTTCCAGGCATCTACATCTGTACACTTCTAGTTTTCAAGCAATATATTAACTCAAAATTGTTATTAGGCATATTTTACACATTTAAAAAATCTAGATATAAACCTTGAAATAAACAAATGTCTAGGATTCTGAAAACATTTAAAACAAATAAAAGCTTTAAAAAAAATTATGCAAAATGTTTCAGATTCTACACTAATCAAATAATTAAAATGATGTGACTCTTTGTACAAATGGTCAGATGTTCTTCTGTAGGCCAGGTGCTCTCTGGATTATTTCAAAATCTTCAGTGTCACATAATCATTCAGAAATCAGTCTAATATACAGATTTGGTGCTCAAGAAACATTTTGTATAATTATACAGCGGGTAAAATAAGTATTGAACATATCACCATTTTCTCAGTAAATATATTTCTAAAGGTGCTGTTGACATTAAATTTTCACCCAGATGTCGATAACAACCCAAGTAATCCATACATACAAAGAAAACAATACAAATAAGTTCAGAAATTAAGTTCTGTGTAATAAAATGGAATGACCCAGGGAAAAAGTATTGAACACTTACGCATACTGAAATTTATTTAATACTTCATACAAAAGCCTTTGTTGGTAATGACAGCTTCAATACGCCTCTTGTATGGAGAAACTAGTTGTATGCATTGCTCAGGTGTGATTTTGGCCCATTCTTCCAAACAGTCTTCAAATCTTGAAGGTTCCATGGGCCTCTTCTATGAACTCTAATCTTTAGTTCTTTCCATAGATTTTCTATTGGATTCAAGTCAGGTGATTGGCTGG